TTCAATGGCTTCCGTCCCAAACCTGAGTCACTGGGGATTCCGTGGACTTCTAACAGAGCCCTACGTGTGTTTCCAAAAACAAACTGCTTGATGCTGTCATGGAAAACCTGGATCTTTGCATTCTACAGTTTTCACTATGGATTACATCCAGGTCACAACCTAAGGAAGATAGTCGGCAAAAAACGACCCTGCTGGCTGTCTACCCAGCTTTTGTAATGAATGCCAGAGGCATATGAACCGTGTGTGTTTCTGGCTCTGTCAAGTCCTGGACAAGTTCTCACCCAGTGAAGACTAATCCGTCTGTGATTTATTCGCCAGGGGAGCCTGAGAAACCACCTGCAATCAAGACTCAACTGTTAGAAGCTGCCTCCAGAAAGGAAAGGAATGGAGTGTGTGTCAGGGGCAGGAGAGAGGGAGGAAGAAGTTCTTTGTTTTCCTGTCAATTAGATTTCTATCATCTGCTTTTTTAAAAATACCCGAGGACACCCATATTCACGCTAAAGCCACAGGACTGCTCTGCACCCTTCATTCCTGACACAAGCAGGCTAGTAAGGGGCCAGGGAGTGGCCCTAGATAACATAATCATGTTTGATTTTAATAGAACAAGGTCAACTCTGAAGGCCATAAAAGGCACCACTATTCCTTAGACTGGAAACCCTGGTGGCGTAGTGGTTAACAGCTATGGCTGCTAACCAAAAAGTCGGCAGTTCGAATCCACCAGACACTCCTTGGAAACCGTATGGGGCAGTTCTGCTCTGTCTTATAGGGTTGCTATGAGTTGGAATAGACTTGACAGCAACGGGTTTGGTTTTTTTTTTGGTATTCCTTAGACTACAACAATTCTAGGAAACATAAAATATATACTAAAACCTACCGAGAAAGCGAGAAAGCAGAAATACTTTAATAATAATCATATAGCTCCACCACCCATCTGTCACTTTGTCATACTACAGTGACTTGCATGTTGCTGTGATGCTGAAAGCTATGCCACCAATATTTCAAATACCAGCAGGGTCACCCACGGTGGACAGGTTTCGGTGGGACTTCCAGACTAAGACAGACTAGGAAGAAAGGTTTAGTGATCTACTTCCAAAAATTGCCAATGGAAACTCTATGGATCACAACAGAATATCGTCCCATACAGTGCTGGAAGATGAGCCCCCTAGGTTGGAAGGCACTCAAAATACGCAGTGGTCACAACAAGGGACTTGAGCACACCAACGACTGTGAAGATGGTGCAAGATCAGGCAACATTTTGGTCTGTTGTACACGGGGTCACCATGAGTGGAGTCAAATCGACAGCAACTAACAGCAACAATCATATAGCTAACATTTATTGAGTATTTACTATGTGCAAAGAACTATGCTTATTAAGCATTTCTCATACATTATCTAATCCTCAAAACAACCCTGAGGCATGTACTATTATCATATCCATTCTATAAGTGAGAAAAGGAGGCTTAGAGAAATGAAGTAAATTGGTCAATGTTTCATGACCACTTCAAGGTGGGGTCAGGACTGACCAAGGACCAAGTGAGGCTTGAACTCTAATTACTGACAGGAATGAGTGTTGGACACCAAGGGCATTTGTGCGCAAGTATTTTGGAAAGGTAAGCTTGGTGCCCAGCATTAGGTCTTGAAGGCAAATCCTGGTATCTGGTTAATTTAATAGTTAATAATTGTGTGTGTTTTAAGTTAACTGTATTTTGGGATTTCCACTGAGGTAGAAGATTCTTTCATACTCAGCTTCTAAAATCAAAATATCAATTTTTTAATGATTTGTTATACTTTTTATAAATACATAATGAGGGCTGTGAGTCTGTAGCCAATTTATTCTTTAAAATTAAGTGTAGCAAAAGAATATGCTTACAATATCTTGTAATTCCCCCAGTTACATTTTACAAAAATGTCATTTTTGCCAAAATGCAAATTGTGAGAATAAACATAGTCTAGAGTGTGTTTCTAACAGATTCTTTTGTTTCTCAGGCAATAGTCTCCTTTCTCACAATTGGTTTCACTGTCTAGTAGATCCAGGGTTGAAATAGGGTAGGGAAAGAAGAAAGACCGATCCTCACAGCTGCAGCCAGTCCTGGCTCAGCCTGGGATGACCAGATGCTAATACAGATTGGCAACAGGAGAGAAAGCAAGTCAGCTGCTTCAGACACTGCTGTGGCAGCTTTCTCAGAATAGATTCAAGAATCATGGCTGCCATTTACGTTGGCTTGAACTACCTGGTGTATAGCTCCGTTAGGGGAGGATAAGCCCGCTGAGCCTCCCGTTACAGATGTGTCCCCAAACACAAGGAAGTAGGCTGATGGCCGACCTGACAAACACTTAGTCCCTCCTTCCATGATTTCCTCTCAGAGGGGTGCTATTAGGCTGGAAGGAGAAAAGAAACTGCTTCTTCCCAGTATCTCAGTGCTTGGCCTTAGAGAGGTACTTTGATGATACAGGAACCTCTGCCTTCCTCCAAATGTAAAATTTCAGAAATTTTGAGATGTTCTATGTACGCATGAGGAGCTTAAGTAATAGGAGTGGGAAGAAAGTAAAAATTTCTTTTAGAAAATGCAGATGTTTTCAAAAGATGGAGAGCCAGCAGACTAGCCCCTGAGGTATGCTACTGCTCCCTTCTCCTCAACCCTTTTTTCCAGAGGCCTTACCAGAGATAAAGGGAGAGAGAAAGTCAGGAATAACTCACTGGGGCATGTGAATAACATCTAAGATATGTACTGATTTTTGTGCCAAAATGAACCATTTATGTGAAATTAATAATAGCATCAAAGGATTTTGTTGGACTAATCTGCATTCTTGGAGCTAACACCTTATTAAAAATTAGATGTAAATATATCTTAAAGACTGATGTAAATAAGTCTTTGCTTCTGAATGACTTCGAGAGGTCATAGTATTATGGCCCCTGATGTCCCACCCCTTACTGTAAATGGCCAGTGCATTGCTAGAAGGCAGTTAGATCACCATTATGTTTCTCAGGATGAAATGCATCCCTCAGGGTGACAAACCAGGGGTCTCACCTGCATACTAGCATATTGATAAAACTCATTATAAAGGCATAAAGTCATCAAGGATGCATAAATATAGCACAGTGAGTGAAAACTAAGCAGAACTCTGCCTCTCTGGCCAACTAGGACTCTTCAACAGGATTAGTACATTGTGTGTGCTGGCTTCTCCTCAGACACATGTCTAAGGACTTTTCAAAAGCCTTTGGTAACTTTTCTCAGCAAACTTTTTAGGACATACACATCTGTGTATGCACACACACCTGAAGCACTGTGTGAGGAAAATAAAGTAGGGACATTTATCTGACAAGCAAAAGATGGGTCCCATCCTATTTAACATTTCTGAGAGGTGAAATGCCAAACTGAATGGGATATACTTCAGAAGATTTCAGAAGTGAGTCAAAAAGGAGATAATGGGACAGAATAAAAAAATAAGATAAGGCCATGTTTTCCAATCTACCTGTTTTTCAGAAGAGGAAAACTGAGGTCCAGAGAGGTGGTACATTTATCTCAAGTTAAATTGCTAGTTAGTAACAGAGCTGAAAATTAGAATCCTGCCCCCCCGCCAAATTCTGTGAATGTCTATGATTACCTGGATCATTTATAGTATGGCTGATCCAGGCAAATAAAGAGATGAGGGTTCTGAGATTTGTCACTTTGGGCCAGGAGATTTAAGGACCCTGGTGTCTGACTGGAGTATATCTACCAGGCAGACAAATCAGGACCAGGGACTAGGTCCTCTGTCATTTCTCTTGGCCTATTACCCCATTGCCATGGGCCCCTAAATTAACCCCATTGCCATGGGCCCCTAAGATTTGAGGAACAGAGAATTTTATCTTATCAACTGTTTGGCGGAGGGGGTGGGGTGTGCATCATTTGATCTATTTATTTGGAAGCAGCCCTGCTGAGCTCAGGAGTTTGCTAAAAGGCAAACCAGGGTTAATTCATTTGGGGGTTCTTTGCTGAGGGATTGCAGTTGGATTGCCATTTCTCCTGTTAGATTTCAGGTTAGTAAATATCTTGGCTATGATCGTTTAAAATGTGAATGCCTTTTTTTCTGAAAGTTAAAGCAGGAGTCTGTTCCTCTACTTTCTTGGTGATGTCTTCAAACTCATCAACCCTCCGGGTGTGCGTGCGTGTGTGTGTGTGTGTGTGTGTGTGTATACGAGTGAATTTCTGTTGCCAAGAACAAGTCCTTTGAATCAAGACAGACCGATGCCCCCTTGGTTCAGGACCCGACTTTCAAGCCCACAGGAGGAAGCTTAAGAAAGTGAAAAGTACTAGCAACAGTGGACACTTTCCTGCAGCTAGTTGGGAGCCTTCCCCCAGGGATCACTGTGAAGAGCTCACACTTTTCTTTCCAACGATTTCTAACAAGCTTGTTAGTGAAAATTATCCAGAAAGGCGAAGAGTTAGCTTGCATTTTCTGATGTGAGTGCACAGAACATTCTGTTAGGCTCCAGGAGACAATTTAAACCAGAGCATTATTAAACACAGAGCAGCTGATACTAATTCTTCCCAACCCACTTCTCCTCCTCCTGCAGTTGGGATGGGGCTGAGAGGGGTGTGATAGGACCAGGCTCACTGGCCCTTAATGAACTCCCAGCACTTAAACATACCTTCTCAGCACTGAGCGCTCTCTACCGCTGGGATTCTCACACCATAATTCCTCAGAGTGGGATGCACTGACATGAAAAACGTGCTTGTAATTTAAACAGAAAAACAAAGAGTAGTTACTCAAACCAAAACCGTAGGAAACAGCAGTGAAGAGAAACATGTGAAACCAGAAAAGGACAAGACACTGGCTTCCTGTTAGGTGGGACAGACTAAGACAGGGTAAAAGAAGCAAGCTCATGTTTCCTGGAATAGTACTTTAACAAAAGAAGCCTGATTACACAGAAGCCTGTCTCTAAAACCGGACAGTAACTGCCTACCTGCAGGTCTCTCCCTTCGCTCTCAGGCCCCTCCCTCTGCTCGCACACTTACCTGCAATCCCTTGCAAGAGCCCGCAGACATTGAAGATACTTTTCTTCATGATGCTCTGCACGCACATGGTGAAGACGGACACCAAGGCCACCACGCAGAGAATGAAGATTCCCACGGCTAAGAAAATAGCAGTGGCCTGCCAGAAGCCACTGGCAATCTCGCTGAAGTTCTCAGCATAGGGCCCACACAGCGTCTCCCGCTGGATGGGCTGCATCCCAGGGTTGCGGATGCAGCGGGCGTAGATGCCCAAGGTGGGGTGGTAGGGCTCCGAAGGGCCTCCAGTCTGGTTGTCCGGCTCCGCATAGCTGCGAGTCTTGGCTTTCCCAATGAGCCAGTCTGCACTCATGAAGGCAATGAGTTCTGCAAAAGCCACCACAATACTCAGGAGGGTCCAGAGCATCGAGCGACAGGTGACAATGACATGACACATATTGATGTTCAAGGCGGAAGAAGAGTCAGGACTCCACGGGGTTAATCAAAGAAGAAAGCGGAGGAGCAGGAAAGAGCACGGAGGCTCAGCCCTCAGAGGAGGCAGTTGGCTGCGCCAGTCATTCACTCACTCAGCCCGAGGGCTTCTTGTTTTTCCTTCCTCTGGCAGCGCGGACCCGGGCAGCGAGCCTCAGTCAGCATTCGTCCTGACACATGGCGCTTCCTCTGGCTGGGCCGGCGCTCCTGCGATCCCGATCCCGGCAGCCCCACAGCGCTCACCTTTAGGAGAGAAAGGAGGGCGGCGGTTAGCAGAGATCCCAGGCCCCGCCCCTACAGCGCTGCTGAGAACAAACTTCGAGGTCTTAAACCCAAGCGTGAGTGTTCAACAGTCTGGGCCATTGGTCAGACTCACTGGGCTGTTCCGGCTGCTGGGAAACTCCCTGCCTCAGCGGACTTCCCTGGCCTCTTGCTCTCACACACCGTCCCTTCTCCGACAGCGCGCAGCGACTCCGTCCCCGGCACAGCCTTCCTCTACCAAATCCTGGTCCCCAGCAAGAATGCCTGCCGTTCCTAGTGCATCTACTGCTTGTCTTTGTTTCAAATGCTCGCTTATCATACACTCTTAAGTGCATGTGGTCGTTAACCTTATCTTTAGGGAGAATGACAGACGGAAAGAGGCCAATGCCAGTCCCTGCACCCATCTCAGAGGCACCCTGCCATACAGGGGGCACTGCCCCAAGCTGCTGTGCTCTTGGAACACAGCTCCTGCTCCATCATCTTTTATTAGAAAAAGTCAAACAGCACAGATATCCAGATACCTCTAGACATGATGGGGTTGAACTATGTTCACGGACTAGCTACTTTCTTTGAAAGTTTCTAGTACTATTTACCTATTTGCTTAGTGCTCCATAAGCTAAGTTCTGAGAAATCTGCACCAAAAGCTTTTGCTTAGCAGTAGAGAGTAGCAACACGCAACTTTTTATTACCTGGAAATTATTACTAGCAATAAACCAAACAAACACATGAGAGTTTTGCTTCATAGGTAAATGAAAATGCAAAGGGAAACAATTCCATGAAAAATAATAAAACAGTGCTACCCCAAACTATTTTTCATCCATTTCTCAAAGGGTTGTTTTTACACAAAATAAACTACATTGATTAAAACTCAAGGAAGAGTTCATAACTTACTCACTTGGGGAAATTATTCAAAACTGAAGCATTAATGACCATTAAGTATCATTACAACTGTGTCGACTTGTTGACAACAGAAAGTTGTCTTGAAGAATGCACCCCCTGAATTGTCCCAATTCATCACCATGTGCCTCTGCCCCAGCTTCGATTCACCCCTGCTCTGGAACTCAACATGCCCATTGTTTCTAATTTCACAGAGGACTCATTCTGTTCCCAAGGACAAATGACTTCCATTACCAGAAGACTTTGTTCTCACAGCCAAACCTCTACCAGAGGAGCCTGAACCCTGAAACAGGGGCCACCAGGGCTCATTCTAGTCCCATTTCTGCCACCTCCCCAAGGACAGGAAGAACTGTGCACCTCACATCTGCCAGATGGGCACATGGCGCTGTTCTGAGTGACTAGATCGTATTAACCCAGGCCACTGTTAACTCCAAGTGAACTACAAAGTGCCCCTGGCATGTTGGGAGCAGGGATGGGGCAGGGAGTTATCTAAGGGGGAGGGAAACAAGGAAGCCCGGTGTCAAAGTTTAACCTGCCTGTTTCTACACTATGCAACAGCTGTCTGCCTGCTGGCTGCCTGGGATTAAGACATGACTCTACTTATTTGAAATAAGACATGACTTATTTCAAAATCCTCATATCACTGTAGTACACAAGATGATATTGAGGGGAAATAGCTAGCACATGCTAGGGCACAGGCAGAGTGTGTGTGTGTGTATGTGTGTGTGTGTGTTTAATAGGGCCATGCTGAGCACTGTGTAAGGGAGAGTGGTGTACGGAGAGTGGTGTACTTCAATGTGAGAGTTTGGAGTCCATCAGGTTTGGGTGTCAAATCCAGCCATCTGGACATCTAACTTCTCTGAGCCTCAGCATCCTCTCTACCACATAAGGATAGTTAGTGTACTTAACCTATTTCAACTTATGGTTGTTAGGAATAAACAAGAACCTGTTAAAGCACCTAGTACAGTGACTGGCAGAGTAAGAGCTCAATGAGTATCAACTCCTCTCCCTTGGAAGCTTTTCCCCAACATGGATGATATCGGCCAGGCAACAGTTTAACCAATGAAGGTGGTTAGTACATCATAGAAACCTGGCCATTACACACAGAAAATGATTCAGCTCAGGCTAGTCAGAGATAGATGAGGTCACTCATGTCTAAGCTTCCCTGGTGGGCTTCAAGGACAGGGTCCTAGTCTTACTTTCTCTTTCCCCACTGCCTAACCCAGCTGCCAAACTCAACTGGTGAAAATAAATTAGCATTAGACCAGAAGGCATATCCCCCTCCCACTCACTCACCCTTCCCTCCCAATACTGCCAATAGAAAAGCCTTTTGAGAAAGAAGTTACCGATACAAAAGAGCTTTGGAGAAGATTGTTTATAATGAAAACGATCCTTATGAATGAGAACAAGATAATGTTTCATGGGAGGCCCTGAGGCTACACATGCCCACCAGGCTCACAGACACTTTGAACCAACAGGTGGAGAGCCCAGAAAAACAGAAGGCTTCTACAAAAGTCTTCCAGTTTTGATTAGAAAACCAATTTACTGTTATGCCCAGTCTGTCTCCAATCCTGTCCCTCTTCTTTAGTGGCAATTTTTTTTTATTGTGGTAAGTATAACTATATATAGGAACCCTGGTGGCACAGTGGTTAATTAAAGTGCTTGGCTATTAACTGAAAGGTCAGCAGTTCGTACCCAGTGGCCACTCTGCGGGAGAAGGATGTGGTATTCTGTAAGGATTTACAGCCTTGGAAACCCTATGGAGCAGTTCTGCTCTGTCCTTACAGGGTCACTATGAGTTGGAATCAACTTGATGGTAATGGGTATATATATGTATAACAAAACAACTGCAATTTCAACATTTTTACATGTACAATTTAGTGACATCAATAACATTCATCATGTTGTGCAACCAACACCATTATCCATTTCCAAATTTTTCCATCAGCCCTAATAAAAACTCAGTGTCCCTAAGCAATGATTCCCTCTTTCCTCCTCCCTCCTGCCAATAAACTTTGGTTTCTGTACAAAAAAAAAACCCCAAACCCATTGCTGTGGAGTCAATTCCAATTCCTGGTGGTCCCTGGGTGGTGCAAACAATTTGAGCTTGACTATTACACCTTAACATAAAGAAAACAAAAATCCTCACAACTGTACCAAAAAGCAACATCATGATAAATGGAGAAAATATTGAACTTGTCAAGGATTTTATTTTACTTGGATCCAAAATCAATGCCCATGGAAGCAGCACTCAAGAAATCAAACGATGTATTGCATTGGGCAAACTGCTGCAAAAGACCTCTTTAAAGTGTTAAAAAGCAAAGATGTCACCATAAGGACTAATCTGCACCTGACCCAAACCACAGTATTTTCAACCACCTCATATGCATGCGAAAGCTGGACAATGAATAAGGAAGACTGAAGAATAGTTGATGCCTTTGAATTATGGTGTTGGCAAAGAATATTGAATATACCATGGACTGCCATAGGAATGAACAAATATGTCTTGGAAGAAGTACAACCAGAATGCTCCTTAGAAGCGAGGATAGTGAGACTTTGTCTCACTTACTTTGGACATGTTATCAGGAGGGACAAGTCCTTGGAGAAGGATGTCATGCTTGGTAAAGTAGAGGGTCAGTGAAAAGAGGAAGACCCTCAATATGATAGTCTGACACAGTGGCTGCAACAATGGGCTCAAACATAGTAACAATTGGGAGGATGGCACAGAACCGGGCAGTGTTATGTTCTGTTGTGCATGGGGTTGCTATGAATCAGAACTGACTTGATGGCACCTAACAACAACAATAATTAGCCTAAACTTGGCACCCACCCAGCAGCACCATGGAAGAAAGACCTGGCGATCTGCTTCCAGAAAGATTACAGCCAAGAAAACCGTAAGGAGCAGTTCTACTCTAACACATAGGGTTGCCATGAGTTAGTTTCTATACATTTGCCTATTCTAGATATTTGATATAAGTGGGACCATATAATAACCTGTCCTTTTGTGACTGACATTTCACTCAGCATGTTTTCAAGGTTCATCCACATTGTAACATGTATCAGAACTTTTCAATGGCAATTTTTTGATGTGAATATAAAACACCTACATATTTTTGTCCTCTTTAAGAACCTTGGGACTCTGCTACAATCTCTCAGGTGACTTGTATCTTAATGAATATGCCAAGTGCTCACTGTCCTGGCCAGCGTGCTCTGCCTAGTCAGCAGTGCAGTTAGGTTACCACGTCTGAAGAAAAAGATGTGGAACTTCAGGAGGAAGACGGGACATGTGTGCTTAGTCATTATAGCCAAGACCTCACCAAAGCGCTCAATTTAAGGAAGAACTATTTCAAGACCCATGTGTCAGAATTCAGATAAGAGAGTTCCCTGTCCATTTGTGCTAAAACAATCTCCATCCAGCGCACCAAATTCGCACATTCAAGAGGAACAGTCACTGTATGCAAGGCTAACCAACCAAACTAGGGGCTTCCTGTAACTTCAAGAAAAGTCCTCAGGTTTGTGGCGCAAAGAAAAATCCAGAAAAGCAGCAGGGTTTTCCAGAGTGGTTGTAGTCTGTAAAGTGTTACATATTGGCCATGTGCACAGTTGCTAAGACAACAACTGTATCAAAGGGGAAACTGATCCTCATTAACTGCAGGATACTGGCAGGGCTCCTCAGTAAGAACACTGGTTGCTATTAACCATAATTCCTGGTTCCACGAAGCTCACTTAACAAAACAAGGCCTCCACTGCCATTCCATGCAAAAGCCTTCTCCCATTCTTGGTGGGCCACTAAATATACTTCTCCTCCAGAACGCATGACATGACTATCAAATCCCTGATGACAGAGGATAATCTGGACAGCCCTCTGGCTTTTATAAAATGATGTTATGATTGTCACAAAGGTCTACAAAGTAAAGCCTCCTATCGAATAACTTAAAAAAAAAAAAGAAGAAGAAGAACCACCTGGAATCCTGCAAAAACCTACAGTCAGAATATAGAACAAGGAGGAGTTTATAGGGGGTTGGTCAGAGGGAGTCAGTCATATATGCTCTCCACAAAGCCCTAACTGTACACGAAGGGTGAGGGTGCTGAGCAGAGCTGAAGTGGTGTTTGTAACTTAGGTCAGCAGGGCCCTATATCTTTGGCCACTTCCTGCTGTCAGAAGAAAGAAAAAGCATATACGACTTGCACCACCCAGGGCCTGCTGGCTAGAAGATTAGAAAGCCAGAGCAAAGTTCACATTTGCCAAGAAAGGTGGAGGGAAACTAAAAGGACTTCAAATCAAAGCTTCATCAAACACCCCGCACTCAACCATTACAAGAGCAACAAACCCAAAGAATGAGGCCGTGACAATGATTTGAAGAACACTAGTTTGCTTACTCACCAAGGATCTTTTTTTTTCAACTTCATCATAAAAAATTTCAAGCATAGAGGTGAGTTGAAAAGAACAATAAACACCCCGCCCATATACCCAACACCCAGATTCAACACGTTAACATCTTCCACATTTGTTCCATCTTATCTATAGTACTGGGACCTGGTGGCGCAGTGGTTAAGCTCTGGGCTGCTAACTGAAAGGTCGGCAGTTTGAACCCACCAGCCAT